ATTGATCATGGTCATTAATAGTCAGTGGGGTGAGTATTTCAAGCGATCACCACAGCAAGCAACTTCAGCCACTGCAGTCATTTGGGGATCTCAAATAACCCTGCTGTTTTAGGCTGAAATGAGCTGGAGTGTACAAGGCGGTGCTGGGGCAGTGAGGGTGTTTGGATGTTGGTTAAAGTGGGTGGGGTCTGAAAGCCAGAGGCTCATATCTCTCCTCCACAGCTGGACATAGAAGTGGGAGGGGAAGCTGTGACTTGTGTGGTCCAGAGGACTGGAACTCTCCCTCAGCCTGGCGATCTGTGTCACGCCCCTCAGCTTCAAACCTCCTCTAAAGTGCTGTCAGGTCCCAGCAGGAAACAGTGCTTGTCTAAGCAACCTACTATAAACTTGGGGGGGTGGGGGTGGGGGGGTTAAAATGGGAGGCTGGTGATGGATGGACTGGAGAGGAAGGTGGAGGAAGGAAAGCGTGTCGTCGAGTTTTAAAACACATGTATTGCCCACAAGGGGGATCAGAGGCCTCAATCACAGCTCAGGGTCATCTATGCTACTGGGCGGGAATAAGGCAAAGCTGGCTGACTCCAGGTCACTGCACAAGCGATAGCCTATTTCATCTGGAGTGTATGGACTAAATGACTACAGAGTGTAACAGATTACAGAGTGGAAATCGCTCTCTTTAATCTTCCTCTGGTCTCTCGGTGGAGCTCTGCCTCGTGTGTATGCATCTGCAAATGATATCTGCAGTGTTTTTCATAATGATTTTCCATTTGCCTTTGACCTTCTGTCACTTAATAACACCCGCTTGTTACAACTGGAAAGGCATCACTCCACAGTGAACGATCACTGGAAAGAAACAGTTTATCCCATAAAAATGAGAAATTCATTTATGTTAGCAATAGGCCACAAATCAATTAAAACCTAAAGTTTATATATTTGATTAATTTTTAATATTGCTGGAAAAGTAGCAGCATTATACTCTGCACACACACATGCACACACAATACAGTATTTTCCACAAGGCAAGACTGTTTACTACTGATTGTGTGCATGAGATATCCAGACAGGTCTTGTGGCAAATTTATTTACCAAGACGTCAGACTATGTCTCGGATCAGTCATGTCACTGTACACTCAGATGAGCGGTGACAGGTCACAAGGAGGCAATGAAGAAGCAAACAGGGCCCTGAGGTGCCATGTCTCATCCAAAGGCTGTTGCTGACAGGAAGCTGTGAACCAACTTTAAAAAAAGTGAATATGTGACTGGGTGCCCACAGCAAGAAGTCACATACACTGTCTCCAACCCATCCTGTCTGCCGCAGCCTGTCTCCACATGCACTACTCTTAAAACGACACGTATGAATGTGTGGGTTGGATATGTTAATCACAGTCCCATGTAATGTCCCATGACTATTTTAAAGCCCCTAAAACTTTGAATAACAGTGACCAAACAATCAACAATGGTCACCAGAGTTTAAGAATCTAAATCCCAGTTATACTCTTCAGGTTTTGTTCATACTATTATTCATAGTTTGTTTAATGACATAAACAAGAAAATAGTGATGTCAACAAAATGATTAATAATGAAAGTAAATGAAGGGGAAATACGCCTTTGAGCCTTCTTGTGTTCTGGTTAAATTAACTTAAAAATGGCATTTAATCTTAATGTAAATGTGATGTTTTCTCATAGTCAAACCTAAATAAATTACACTACATTATTCCACAATTCTTCATTCAATAAAAAAGAATGTTTGAATATTGTTGCCAAAACACATGCACAAAGAAAATATTTGCTCTGAAATGATCAGAAATCCACAAGGAAGAAGAGAAGAATGTACTAAAGTGCTTATGAACTGTGCTTGTGTGCTGACCCAGGGTGATTTTTCTGGAATCCAATCCAAGGCTAGGTTTGTGTCGCACACTTCTGACATCAGACGTTGAAGTTATGAGGGCTAATTATGGACTGGCACAAGGGGATTTCTGCTTCCAGTTAAAGGGTTAGCCATGCTGCTGACTCTTTCAGAAACTGTCTGTCTGACTGAAGCACTCTTATAAAATGTATAAATGTATGTTCACACTCACATACACACAAACCGAGAATAACCTATATTTTTTGCAGTGCAGAATGTCTCCAGGTAGAGAGGTGAGCGTTTTCCCTCAGTGCAGAAGCCATTAGTCAGAATGGAGGTGATTTATGGGATGTCTCCTTGCAGAATTTAAATTAACTGCCATGCTGTAGGGAGGGAGGAGAGAGGGTACCAGTGCTTTTTGGGCTGCTCCCCTTTGCACCCCACCTCTCTCTCCGACTCTCTTGCGTTTGCTCCCCCTCTGCATCGCTTTCACCCTCTCTTGCTGTCTTTTACTCAGTATAGCTCTCTCTTATTTACTCTCAGGGGAGAAATTTGGAACATTTTTTTGGCTCCAGCTGTGTTGTCAGGTGGTCAGCTCACTCGTGGATCTCGGCAGATTTCAGTGGAAAATATGCTCAGCCAGATGAAAATGTGTTTTTCTTGGAGGATAACAATAAGCAGAAATCTGAATCACAAAAAAGACACATGCAAGGTCAAGGTCAGTAGTTACCAATCAGAAGGTGCTACGTCTTGTGGACCAGAATGCACCTGACACATCTGTCCAGAGGCTGCAGTGAAAGATGGAAATCTAATTCCATGTTTTAATGTAGGTGTTGTACTGTAAACATATATGCAACATTCCTCACAATTATGTTTGAATGATTAATACTGTCTGCAAAGATGTGCACCCCCGGCTCCAAGATCCTTATTAATAAGTTTCATATGAATGATGCTTTGTATTATACTCTCGTCTCCCTGATGGCTTTATGATATATAACTGAGCTGGGAGACAGATCTGTGGTGTGACACGGGAACCTAAGGGACAAGAACTTCGTCAGAGTTCACCAGAAATTCCCTCCACATCGCAAATAATCCATTGAGAAGACTTAATATTCTATACATAAATACATAATACTTAATGCTGTGTGCCGTGTTGGGGAGTAACTAGTTATAAAATAAATGTAAGTATAATCACAGTGACTGAGAAGAAATAATTATGTAATTAAATTACACTTACTAATGAAAACACTGGTGATTACACAGGGGTTGCATGTGAATGTACTCCTTTCTGTAAAAAGCTTATATGTATATGTAACATTCATCCTGTTACTTTGCAGACGGTCTTCTTTTGCCTTATTTCTAGACAACACAACTCAGTAAAGTCGTTCAGACGAATTTAAGTGCAACACCACCAAGGGTAGATGGTTTACAAGGTCTCTACATCTAGATCAGCTCCATTCATTTGGCAGTATGTGTTCAATTCTGAATGCTGCTTTTGATCGGTTTTTGTTTGACATTGCGCAGCCTCTCATCTGTCAATCAAAGCAACGAGCACTGCTCTAAGCATTTGGCTGCAACCAGCCAACAATGTCAAGGCGGGTGGCCATGTTGTTGGACAAGAACGATTCTCAGTGCTGGAAATTCAACAGTTTATTCCTTTTGAAATCAGAAGAGGGTTTTGCTTGGTGCCTGTTCACTACAGGCTACATGTTTCAACAGTAATATATTATGTAACTTTAGTCATTATGAAGAACCTTTAATAAAAGTTTGACAGTAACAAGTGTCCAGTACTGTTGTGAGGACTTTTCAGCTTTATTGCCCAGTTCAAAACATAATCAAAAAGTAATTAAAAGTAATAAGTTACATTACTTCAATTAAGTAATTGAAATAGTTACACTACTTATAATATTTTTAACAGGGTAACTAGTAGCCTGTAACCGATTATATGTCAAAAATAACCTTCCCAACACTGGCTATGTGGCTAGTGTGAGACAGAAGCTACAGGCTGGGGGTGGGCAGCTGGCTGGGATTTGAAACTGGAGGTTCAGGGGCCCATGAGTGAATGGTAGTGAGAGGGGAAAGGATGGGTGGTGAAGGGAGAGAGGGAAGGGGGTAAGGAGTGAGGAGGACTCCGCAAGACATTGCACTAAAGCCACTCAGGAGTTTTACTGTACAGTGCATGACGTGTTGGTGCTATGAATATGGATTCATACATATTTCATTTTTAGTTTATTCTCTAGATAGATATTTGCTTTTGCTATATTAGTCCCCGTTAGCTGATTAGAATATGCTTTTTCAGCAGCTTTATTGCTTCTAACCCTTAGCACACACACTGTACCTACACACACAGCTCCTGACTTTCTCCTGTAGACTCAGTGAGCTCACAGTGATATATGTGGTACTGTATTATGCATCTGTTTCCTGTACAGCACCTTGACCTTTTGTGCATTTGTGCAGTTTTGTTGTTGCTGAGCTGAAAGGGGGCAGCAATGATTAGCTTAAAATTTAGTGCTTTTAATATTAATATTTCTACAAGGTATTGCATTCATCATTTTGCATAATTTATAGTAATTTCAGATTCACTGTGTTTTACTTTAAGTTATTTAAGGACAGGGCACCTAAAGTAAGACAAAGCAGACCAAAAACCCTGAGTATGAGCATATAGCAAGAACCTGGATTTTTGAGAAAAGTGTTAAATACGTCATAGTTTTATGATAATACCAGTCACTGAAATCATACAAACAAAGTAATATTTGCATCATAACACCAAACAAAATAAAGGAAATTAATGCATCTATTGGCTGGTTTTTATTTTAAGAGAAAGGTTTGACATTTTGGGAAATATGCAGGTTTATTTTCTTGCTGAGAGTTAGGGGAAAACACTGATGTCCATACATAAGCCTCCAAAATTGCTGTTTCTACATTTCAGTTTATTAAAGAAATACAATATAAGCTAACCAAATGAATGAGCTTAAGAGGAAGTGGTAAACTGGGTACCAGCTGTTTTCCCCTGCTGCCAGTCTTTGTGCTAAACTATTCTTTTTAAGCCTGCATTAAGATGATCAAATTACTGAGATCACAGTTTCAAACACCACAGCAGAGCTGGTAATAAGCATCTAAATCATAAATTATATCATTTGCACTTTTCCTGCACACACCTTCTTTAAACAGAAGATAATTCAAGTTGTTATGAAAAATATAGAGCACAGGAGATTAAACCTCACTCGTCATCTGCTCCCTTCATCTTACCTCTGGGGAAGTTTCCTATTCTGTTCTCTTCCCTGAGGACAGACTATAGTTTTTTCTGGTGTAGCTCTGCCATGCTGGGAGCATGACTATGCCATAAGATGAACTTCAGCTGAGGGTTTGATAGGCTCTTGTGTTCAAGGCCTGGATGAAGGAAACCACCCTGGGACCTCCCCTGGGTCAGACAAGAAAGACAACAAAGTGTAACATAAAAAAATCACTTATCTACACCAAATATGGCTCAAACAAAGAAACATTTGCAAGATGCTGCATTCAGTACAAACTTTACAGTTATTGGTTTGTACACTTAATGTTATTTAAAAAGTTGTATATTCGTAAAATATCCAAAGTCAACTCCTAGTCTCGCTTTTCTTTTTTCGGGAACACCCTGCAAAATGTTTTGAACAACAGGAAGACTGTCCCAACTTCCCCCCAGAGTACATTTCTAAAAAATAACAGGTCAATGCCTCTGCTACTGTTACATAAGTATAACCCAGTCTATTATTCTATCTCACATTACATGTTATGCATTAACTGATTCTATATTCTGTTTACTTGTTTTATCCACTGCAGTATAAAAAGACAGAGCCCATTCAAGAAAGATGTTTTATGTTAAATTTAGGCATCTAGTTGCTCTTATCACAAGTAGAAAAAAATGGAAACAGTCATGTATAGTGCGTTAAAACTCAGATCACACACAATAAGTATTGCAAATATAATGCATCCCAAGAAGGTAGAATTCTGACCTTTCTTCTAAGGCAGGATTCAAATCAGATGCAAGTGGAGGAAGACAGCACAGAGGAGAAGGCTGTGAAGTGTGTAGTGCGGGCATGAGTTTTCAGTTCATGCTGGGAGTGACGCTGCAGTCCTGGCCAAGGTGAAAAGGTTAGCCCATCATCTGGGAGCCTGGGGGAGAGAAGTCAAGACTGAGTGAAGGCACTGCCGACTGGCTGCAGGCAAAGGTAGACTGAGGGAACATGCATGAATCACACGCATACATAATACACCACATCACCACATTCATTATGATACTTGGATATCAGGCAGCCCTGAATCAGTCAAAGAGCAAATCTGTGATTTCTCAGTTTTCGCCATTCTGCAGATGGAAGACAAAGAGTTAATTTCCCTGGAGCTCTGCTGCTCAGTCAAGGAAAAAACAGACAACATGTAAACAAAGACTAAAGATCAAGCCACGTTCATGGGTGATGAATTCAGCTCCCTGAACATCTTTACTATATTGTCTGTACAATATCTTTCTCTTGTCAGTGTAATCAGGTAATAAATGTTTCTTAATCCTCTATACACAACATGCAAATGTAGTCATCTCAGTGCACTGAACAGTGCATACAATAAGGCTGATGTGACCGCATGTGTGACACGACATGCGAAGTGGTTATAACATGTTGTTATCACTTTGGTATCAGGATCTGCTTATGCAAACATCGACTCCTAAACATGACGGAGCACCCAGCTAACCCAACTCACCTTTTAGTGGGTGGCTCACAAAGTCAGAGTTATTATGTCTCATAAAAAATGCAACACTGTCACAAGCTTTAGTGAATAGAGCCGATGACAGGCTTGATAGAGCTATGGCTGCTATAGTGAGAAGGAACATATGGCCCTAGGGTATGCTGTAAGTGTGTGTGTGTGTGTGTGTGTGTGTGTGTGTGTGTGTTGGTCCTTTCCTGTGGAGTCATGTCCTTCACTATTTCTGCCTTCACCTGGATATTCTGTGCATTATAGTGCACGCCAGGAAGAAATTGCTGAGGCAGAGAAAGCTTAAAGCAAATGCATATTAATTTTCTCAGCACATGTATAAAACAACTCCTCCCCAGACTCAAAGATTGCTCTCACTCTCCCTTCTCCTTCAGTCATGATGAAAACCACACAGACACACACACACACACACACACACACACACACACACGTATTCCACAGGCACCCTGCAGAAGCTGTGGGCAATTCCCCTCGGTACTCAGTCGTTTTCTGTTTCCATTTTCCTTTAAAGGCACAAATGCACCATCTCTCCTTCACTCTCACCATCTTCAGTTTTGACTTCCTCTGCCTTGCTTTCTTTGTTTTGAAGCCCCCCTCACCCTCCCCAGCACCAAACCACCTGAGTGGGTGCCAAGCAGTCACAGCAGTGGCTTGATCCTGGCACTTATGAAAGGAACTCTTTGATAAGCCTCGGCCACAAGCAGCACAAGGGAAGCAATCAGAGACACAAACTCAACTAGAGATGAGGCCTCTACTGTGTTTGCTTGTGTGTTTGTGATGTTGTTTTGTTCCTTTGACCTGTTAAATTTTTTTCCTCTTGAAAAAAAAAATCAAATCCTTAAAAGTCTTTTTTTTTTTACTCTTCCATGTGTTGCTGTTTTCCCTTGTGCACTTGAGAAACTCTTTATTCTGCCTTCCCTTTTCTTTGTACCCAGGGAGAACAACAAAGTGATTAAAAGCTTTTGAGGTGTGTTTGGATGTGGCTGATGCCTGGACACTGTGCTACTGACATCGTGGTTTCCTGCTCTTGCCTTGTTCTCACATCCGCACTTTTATTGTATTTGAAAAGATTTCTTTCTCATCACAGTCTGATCTGTACAAAGCCCATCTGAGCACTCTTTTAAGAACAATTAAAAGAGTAAATGCCAACAATATCCATTGTTTATATACTGCACCTTATTTTTGTACCATTGGCCATCCGTTACATAAAATGTTACTCACAAACTTAGCTGTCATGCTGCAGTTTCTCAAATTATTATTATTGCCACGTGGTACCTTTATGTCCAGCTGTTTTTCAGCTAAAGTGTGTGCTTCGGTTTCAACATGTCTTCATTATGTTCTGACACATCTTCATTATACTCTGACCAAGACACATATGGATGGATTTCAGTCTGACAAACTCCCATAAAATGTTTTGGACTGAAAAAACAAGTCTACTTCCTTGCATGAACTATGATTCTCTGTATTAATTGACTAAAATGTATTTAGAGTTTTTTAGATTATTGATTGGTGTGCTGTAAGTGGTACTTTTTGTAAGATATAGCAGGTACGTTTTGTTACCAGACAGATGAATCTGTTTGTTTCAAATTACTAAACAATATATGTGAGTACTCAGTGAACCTTGAGGAAGATATTTTAAGAGATAACGCAAATTTTAATAGGTCTATAATCAATATTCTTATATTGAGATCACATGATTACTTATGTAGTGAAAGGGGTTGCTCCTTGTAATGAACCCACAGAGAATTATCACCCAACTCTGCGGTGTCCCCCAGCTTTATAAAGTGTTTCATCATCTTTTAGCTCAGTGTTTTCATTTTCTGGCCTGTAACTAGTTTTGATTCCCTCACCAGTCTCGTCACTCTTCCAAAAGCTTTAAAAACTGACTGTATGATGCCTGCCCAGAACTAAACAGCAGACAGGCATACTTAGTGAGTAGCTGGTGAACATAGGGGCACAATTAGCAGCTAAAGAGCCTGATATTTCCCTCAGGAGTTATTCCAAAAACAGAGCTAAAATGAGAGAGGATATTAGAGATCCATTCATCATGTGGGCAAAAAATGTCTTAACAGGCAACAGCTAACAAAGTCACCATATCATCCTACAAGCTGATAATATGTCAGTGTGCACAGCATGTTTTCATGGTGCCATGTATGGCTGCTTCGGTGACATGCTCTAGTATGTTGTTGTCTTTTTTGAAGGTCTCTTGCAACCCATCTTGGGTTACTTTCACCAGACATGAGCTTTTGACCATTTGACAGCTCACTTTGAACACCTTTTCTCCAGTTTTTACAGGCGGGGTAAGTTGTTTGGACATTTTGGCCAGTGGAGCACTAGCCATCCTTGGGACATACAAGAGGCACCTCAGGGGAAAGCAGGGTTGTCGTAGTGAAGCTATGACAACAGGGCCTCTGAATGCCATTTCCAGGATATCCATCTATCAAACTTCTGCTCTCTAGCCAACAAAATAGGCAAACTGCTTCTCATCAACTGGACTAATTCTGACTTCTCATGATCTGCAGTGTTGTGCTTTGTCGAGATGTGGCTAAATGGCTTGACCACAGAAGAGGCTGTTACAGTATACGCCTGGGTTTCCAGGTCCACACAGCAGATCGAGTGGAAGAGCAAACCGGAAAATCGAGAGGAGGTGGAATCTGCTTCTACATACATGAAGGTTGGTGCAAAGATGTCACAGTGTTGGGAAAAACTCAGACTTAGAAGCACTATTTATTAACTGCAGACCATTTTATTCACCGAGAAAAATTTCCTCATTCATTTTGGTCGATGTTTATATCCCATCTCTAATAATCTGTGAAGAGGCTGTATGGAGCCTCCTTAGCTAGCAAAAGATCAGGAAGGCACCAGGCCCAGACGGTGTGACTCCCTCATGTCTGAAAGCTTGTGCTGATCAGGTGGCCCCCATCTTCACACTTATCTTCAACAGATCACTGGAGCTATGTGAAAACCCACCATCATCCCAGTACCCAAGAAACCCACCATTAACAGCATGAATGACTACAGACCTGTCGCCCTGACATCTGTAGTTATGAAGTACTTCGAGAGACTGGTGTTGGCCCACCTGAAGGACATCATACTCCAGCTGCTAGACCCCCTGCAGTTTACCTACCAGGCAAACATGTCAGTGGATGATGCAGTCAACATGGCACTGCATTACATCCTGTAATATCTCATTGTAGACTTCACCTCAACGTTCAACACCATCATCCCAGACATCCTCCCCTCCAGACTCACTGTGCCTGCTCACACCTGTCAGTGGATCTCCAGCTTTCTGACAGACAGGAAGCAGCAGGTGATTGTCCAGCACAATCAGCACAGGCACCCCCCAGGGATGTTTGCTCTCCTGGCTACTGTTCTCTATATATACCAACAACTGTACCTCAGGGGACAGCTCTGTTAGACTGCTGAAGTTCATGACGACACAACAGTCATCGGTCTCATCCATAACGGTGATGAGTCTGCAGACAGACGGGAGATTGAGCAGCTGGGCCTGTGGTGCAGTCACAACAACCTGGAGCTGAACACGCTCAGAACAGGGGAGATGACAGTGGACTTCAGGCCCCCACCCTACCCCCTCTCACCATAGCACTGTATCAGCAGTAAAGTCCTTCAGGTTCCTGGGCTCCACTGTCTCCTAGGACCTGAACTGGACATGCAACAATAGCACCATTATCAAAAAGGCACAGCAGAGGATGACCTTCCTGCACCAGCTCAGGAAGTTCAACCTGCCCCAGGAGCTGCTGATACAGTTCTACAGAGGAATCATCGAGTCTGTTCTCTGCTCTTCCATCATTGTCTGCTTTGGCTCAGCAACCAAACAGGGCAAAGTACAGACTTCAGCGGACAGTCAGAACCAGTAGAGCCAGCCTGCCCTCCATGAAGGACCTGTACACCTCACGGGCCAAAAGGAGGGCAGAGAAGATTTCTGCTGACTCCTCACATCCTGGACATGAACAGTTTGAACTCCTCCCCTCTGGACGGCACTACAGGTCACTGTGCGCCAAGACAACCAGACACAGGGACAGGCTGTCACTCTGATGAACACTTAACTATGACTGAAGCAACAGAACTCAGGAACCACTGCTGTGCAATAACTGTAAAGAGTACCACAACATGCACAAATCTGATGGCTCGAAATGTGTAGATATGTATACAATGTTTATGAATGCCTCAGGTGGCCAGAAAATCAGTTACTGTAGAATCAGTGAATTTAAATAGGATCAGTTACCAAAGGAATCATTAATTAAACCTGAGTTAAAAACACATGTGGCCCATTAAAAAAAGGGTATATTTTGCTATTTTTAATGCCTGTTAAGACTAACTGTCCTGTTGGTCTGGGTGCTGTAAACAGAAATGTGTTCTCTCTGTGACACGTAGGGTCGCTAGTTGCATCTTTATTTCGTCTCTCAGCGATGAATGTCAATGGACAATAACATAAGGCTGCATCACCCCTGTGCCACTCCACACTGAGTGGTGCCACAACCAATCAGTAGGAGTCACTAGTGCAGCAACAAGGGTGAAAACCTTTGTCTGGTTTCCCACCTGCCAACTATGCCAAATGTTTTCGCTGAAACACACTTTCAAATGTGAAAAGCAACAACTGGAAACTAAACCCTAACTCAGTAAAATGTGCAGGAACTTTGGCCCGACATCTAGATATTGCAAAAACACAGTTCAGGTCTTGAAAATCAGCTTATGCCACATGCAGCTATTCTGGTTTCATCACCATTGTCATTGACACTCACGCATTCTCTCCCTGTGCTCCAACAAATAAAACAAAGCAAACCAGCTCCACTGATATAAAGCTCAGTTGTCACAGCAGTTAACTCCCCCCTCCATGTTGTACTTGCTCTCCCTCTGCCTCTCTATTCCTTGTCTCGCCATCTTTCTCATCTCTCTTTCATCTCCATTGCTCTCTGTTTGTCCTCTCTAGTGTGCACTGATCTCTGTGGTTCAGAGATTTAGAGATTTGGGGCACAGTGATCTGACTGGCAGTTACAGCCGGCAGGTGTGAAGAACAAACAATGGCCCCTAAACAAACCGCAAAACCAATTTAGGGCTTGTGTGCTCCCTCATATAGGCAAACTCCATGTCAGTTATGAGGAATAAAACAAAACAGGCAAATATGCATCGCAAGCACACCTGGTGTGCCACTTATTTGGGAATGTCTCACAGACTCAGCTCAGTGATAAATTAGACAGCCAACTGGTGGGAGCATAAGTTTGCAACTGAAGTTTAATGATGATGAAGAGACAGAAATCTAACAAAATAACTGGTGATATGTCAAGTGTAGTGGTGACAAATAGTCAGGCATCCTGCTCATTGATCCATCTCAATCTGTCACAAGAGCTGTGTCCAGCTCAGGCACAAACTGTCCCATCAGAAATAGGCAACCATGACATGTGGAAAGCCAAGAATCTGCAGAGTTTTGTTCCAGTCAGTGACTACACCAGCTGATTTAACTGTTTAACAACAGTGTAAACAGAGAGGTGGAGTTTAACCGGAGAAAATACCCGGTGGACTAAAACCTTGGTCCTCACAGGCCTCTTTGAGGAACAAATGAGGCTGAACATTGAAACAGCCTAAAATATTTACTGTTGCATGAATTTAAAATCTCTGAAGCAAAAGATAATGACTTTTTATACATAACAGACTGGATACAACAGATAATTTAGATTCCTGTGACCCTGAATTACAAATTATTGGACTGTGTATGGTGTTGGCTTCAGCTCTACTGTATGACTCAAAGCCAGAGCTATCAGAGCAAAAGGTGCCCACCTCTGATGTTTTTATCATTGTCTGAGAATAATACTGTTTCCCCCAATTGGCAGATCATATTGATGTGGGCATGTCAAATTCTTTCATCTTTATCTGTTTGTCCATTTTGTGTTAGACCAAAAACTCTGAACACTGCTCTCTGCAAACACAACACACATTTTTAAGATAATGACTATGTTTTTTGGCCATCTATAGACGTCATTTGTTTTCTAGCTTTACCATTCATCATTCTACTGGATGAAAATGTCAAACTAAATGATAAGATCACAGCTGCATATAGATTTTTTTCTCTCCCTGACCAGGACCCTTTATTTGATAAAAACCATGAAATCAATACCTAAAAAAAGACACCAATAAGAAATGGTGTCAGCACAGGATTATTGACACAGGGGAAAGGCAAAGAGGGGAATGAAATAAATGCAGAGAAGTGAGTGGTTAGTGTCAGTGGCCCTAAAGGAAAGATAGATTGGCTGCCATCACCCTTAAAAAGTGGCTCTATGTAAAATGCCACCATTCATATCATCAATCAAAAGTTTTAAAACAGTCCCATCTGTATGTGTGGTTGCATTTTCATTTGTTATATACAATCAAGCTGTTGGATTATGAGTTAATTCTTGGCATGAGCCTTTGTGATTAGCACCTTTTTTTTAAATGATGCCTTGTGTCTTTGCACATATACACCATATACATGAATCTTTACAACCCACCTTCAGGAAAAAAAAAATTTCTTTCCACAGCTCCATCGTTATTTTTAGAGGCTGGATGCTGATAAGAGATAGGCGAAAGCAAGGGAGTGAGAAACGGCATCAAAAGTGGGGAAAAGGAGGAATGCAAAGAGAGAAAAAGAGAGGGATGAAAGGGGGGGGAGCAAGATGGTCAGAGGGTGGCGTTGACTCTTCTGTGGTTCAGGAGAGTGGCAGAATAAAATGCAATGTGATGAGAGTCCTTCCTCTGAGTGAGTTGGAGAGAGAAAGAGAAGGGGACCAAAGCACACCAACCTCTCATTCGATGGGGGAGCAGTGGGGAGGGGGGGAGCGCCGCCGCTACAGCCGTATAAAAAGCCGAGCCTGAGAAACCGGCACCACAAACTCACCACACATACACACACACGTGCGTGCACGCGTACACAGATCCAGTGGCTGCTCTCACACTCACCCACTCTCAGCATTCTCTCTCCCTCCCTCTCCCTTCCTCTCTCTCTCTCTCTCTCTCCCTCTGTCTCTCACTTCATTCCTCTGGGCTCTGCATCCTTCTTGCTTCTTCTCACAAGTCACATTGTGTTTGTAAGTATGCGCTGAATGTGTCCCTGTGTATGCTTGGGCGTAGTTTAAGTCTTTTTATATGTGTGAGTGACTGACTGCCTACTTTAGTGTGACTGAGCAGAGTGGTGAGGTGTATCAGGTGTATGTAGGTCTTTGTCTCACCCTCACACACTCGTCGCTTCTCTTGCAACTCTTCTCGGGATCTCTGGGTCCCCTTCCTCGGTGACAGGCTACCCACACCAAGCAATCACCATTTCCGCCACGGGGAGACCCACGCTGGCAGCGCAGCCCCTTCCCCGGAGGAAGCCCTGGGTGGCGGCTGCCGTAGGGGTCATGCTGGTCCTGGTGCTGGTGGTCCTCATCCCTGTGCTCGTCAGCTCTGTGGGTACAGATGCCAGCCACTATGAGATGCTGGGCACCTGCCATATGGTGTGCGACCCCTACCTGAACAAGGGCACTCCAGCCAGCAGCACCAGCTCCACTGGTCTCCAGGCTGAGGCAGAGGCGTTGAGCGATCACAGCAATGTGCTTCCACCCTCCACCTTACTGCAGGGCCCACAGGGGAAGCCTGGTAAACCAGGCAAGCCCGGACCACCTGGACCGCCCGGAGAACCTGGGCCACCGGGGCCAGCTGGGCCACCTGGTGACAGGGGGGATCGAGGAAGGACTGGGATTTTGGGTCTTGGGGGGACCGGAGCTATCAGTACGGCCACCTACAGCACAGTTCCTCGGGTGGCCTTCTATGCGGGGCTTAAGAACCCCCATGAAGGCTATGAGATCCTCAAGTTTGACGATGTGGTCACCAACCTGGGCAACAATTATGATGGCATTTCAGGCAAATTCATCTGCAGCATACCAGGCACATACTTCTTCATCTACCATGTGCTGATGAGAGGAGGAGATGGCACCAGCATGTGGGCAGATCTCTGTAAGAATGGCCAGGTTAGTGCTTTGAAACTTTTTCCGAGCTTTCTCTCTCCAGTGTAGTGTACATCAGTCCTCTGACGCTCACTCTCCATCGTTATATGCTCTATGGCTCCCTCCCTTAAAAATCCACGCAGTGAAGGAAGCTACTTTTTCATAAAGCCAGTAAATAAAATGTGACATTGTGAGGCAAGCCTGCGCATCTGCCGCGCAATTCCAAAGCCCAGAGCGCACAGCTGTGGCACCCGGCGCGCCCGGAGATAAAGACGCTTGAGTGGTTGAGGTCTGTCTCCCCACGTCGCAGGATGCGCTGTGACATCCCCGCTCCCCGAGGTCCAAAGGACGGCCATAGCTTCGGTTGAGCCGGGAGTGCGTAACGCCTTTGTTTTAGTTTTACTTTTTTAGATTGGGTTTTATTCCTGGAGGAACTTAATGGCAATTTGTGTCGGAGTATTTACACGTACAGTGTTTTAGGGGGGAAAAGCTGGAGTGATGATGAAAATGAAACAGCAGGAGTTGGAAATGTTTTCGGGCTATAAGGATGGATGTTACTTCCTTTTGTTTTGTTATGAAGTGTCAATTAGCTACGAGTGATTATACTGTAATTTAATACAAATAATAAACCGGCGTTTTATTATTTATACTATTGTTGTTTCATCAAGACACAGCCTTCCGTTCCTGCTCCATATAACTTTTAGTCTATATGGTTTCTGGCTAGTTAAATGTAAAGCGGGATGAGAAACGAACAATATTTAGAACATGTCTGTACAAACTGTTGTCTGTCCGCCGCCGCATCCACCTGTCTGTGCAGTCGCATTAAAAACACTACGAACTCGACCTGATCTATTCTCGGCTTCTATCATTTATCTATTTTTATTTTGCGACCCGGATGGTCTTCTCAGCTTGATTATGTGCCACTGTAGTTTGCAGTTTTCCGATCAGCCAAGGTCTCTTATGTCCAAAGCGCCTCCAAAATACGTTTAGCCTCAAAAAAGACTGAGGTAAAATTACTGGGCTCATTGTTTGCTTTGTTTGCTCAGGCTGTATCTGTGTTCCCATCATATACTGTAGTTTGTGGCCAGTATCATGGCAAGTATGAAAAAATACTCTAAAGAAAACAATTCAGCAAATAAGCTACCTGTCATTTTTATGTTAAGGGGTTGCTGGCATTGCTCCTCTATTGTATAAAGTGTAAAATGAATGATGCTCTGGAGACACAGTAATGTACTGAGAAATGCTGCTGGTGACACACGTTTTTCCTACTGTACATGTTGAGATTATTTATAACCTGTTTCATAAGCATTTTTGATTCACCACCATCAACTCATTCTACAGTGAACAACACAGAAGGAGATCATAGATAAATCATAAATACCTCTACAATCTATAAAATCATGTGACATCTCGGCCCTAGGAGCCCCTCTGGCCTATGTCACATCTACAGGCTGAAAAATAAATGTAGTTTTGGTTAATTCTCATTTTCTTATTTTTTATGTTTCTGCCAAATCATGTCAGTGAAAAACACGGAGGTAGAATAAAGCAGAAAGCTGTTGATGTTCTCCAGTGTTGGGGAAACTACTTTGAAAATATAGTTTGGCAAACTATCAATAACTTCACCGAAAGAAATGCAGGTAAACTAAAATTACTTAGAAAAAGTAGTTCAAAATATTTTGTAACACACAATAAAACTGGCAATGTACATGTGATACAAAACTATAACATCATTAAAAAAAAAACACATTCTTGCAAAAAGTGCCACTGAGTTGAGTTCATTTACCTGAGACAAAGCCGTCCCATCTGGCCTTTTCACAATCATATTATATATTTCTTGTAACCAAATTTGGATTTTGTATTAATAAATCTGCTGTGTTACTTGTTGGTTTTGCAACATCTGGCTTGTATAATCTTAACAGCTAAAACAGTCTTGAACTTGTATGTTTTAAGACCATATGAACAGCTGGAACACTGGTCTAAATGGGCCTCTTTTACTACTACTGCTCAGCACAGAATCTCTGATTATATGACACGTGAGGAGTCTCTCGATGTTCTTATCCAAATGGAGAGCCCTTGTTGTACCAAATAGAAAAGAAATGGTAAAATAAAAAATCATTAACGGTCCAAAATTATTTGTATTTGCAAAAGTTAACTACACAAAAAAATATTGAATGTTGAACTACCAGCAAGTTACTGCAAAATGTAGTTAACCTGATAGTTTAATTACATGTAGTTCATTACTCCCCAACACTGGTGGTCTCAGCACATTACAAGTGGTGAGATCATGATATGCAGCGTAAAGATAAAATAACAGTTGGCATCGGCAATGTGGCATGAACCTGCAGTCTTGCCAAGGCAGCTAGAGGTTAATTCCTTTACCCTCGCCAAGTTCACACCCAGCAAGTAAAAGAGAGTTACAGCAATTGCCTTCTATATATAATGTCTCACTCAACAGTAATGTTTATAGGTGGGCGTAAAAGCATTGATATATAATAGGGGAAGAAGAACATATGTTCCTATAAAACGCCTTCTGTTTCCGCTTCATTGTGTTCCCAAGAGGAGGGTGTGGAGGTACTTAAGTTAGAAGCACACAGTGTGCATCTCAAGAGACACACGTAATGTTTATAAAGTGGTAACTGCTTGTCTTTCTCTGGCTTCCTCTGTCCTGTACGCAACTTATGCATATGGTGCAGTGCTCTTGCTGTGGTGTTTATTAGGTTGTGTGCCTGGCTGATGGAACAGGCCCCAGAGCCTCTGTCTGTGTAAACGGCTGTGAATGGTTGTAAATGTTGGGCCAACTTATGCTACATCATTGATGAAGTGCTGAGAGTCAAACTGAAGCTCATACACTCACACTGGTGCTTTCCTCAGCTCATTAAGGCAGCAAAAAGCTACACTGCGAGTTGGGACAGGGGAGGCTAGGGAATTGCACACAATACTAGTATTTTATCATCTTTTGGCTTTAGAGAAGCAGCGGGTTTTCAGGAACGGCAGCGCCGCTTCTCTCCAGCATGTGCTCCTCCCACTCCAGGGGTTTTTGCAAACTGCGTGGAACATCAGCATCCATTGGTTACCTTATTTCTTCTCCTCTTCTTCCACTTCCTCTTTTCACTTGGCAGAGTGCACACAAGAATTGCAGTATTGTCCCCAGAACTTTGACACTTTTCAAACTAGACCAAAAACTAGCTTCCTGGTAAACAAGCAAATAAGGAATCTATTTTCAGCACAGCACATTTCATCTGCTTTCCAAACTCCTCTCCACATACAGTACTCTTCTTGGCTTTTTTATTGCATGCCAGAATATTCCAACCAATTCTAAACTCTCTCTCCAATAAATCAGTGTTTTGCCCTAACCTGTCTTGGACACACCCTGAGAGACACAGCAGTGACAATGAACACAAATTTATTGGCTGCAGTAGAAAGGAGGAAAGCAAAGAAGGACAGTAAAGATGTAGTTATTGTGCTATTGTGCTAGCGAGTCAATTTTATTGTAATTAAAAAGCTTGAACCAGATCCAGGATCTGTTTGTGCTTCTCCTCTCTGCTCCCTTCTTAATATTGTTATTAATCCGTAAAACCGTTTCAGAGTTAATTAAAAGCAATGACTTCAGCGTCAGTCTCTCAAGAGGACCATAGTGAATAATCACTCTGTCTTCTCCTTTAATAAGCTTCAATGTCCTTCGTGCACATGGCTCTTTCCTAGCAATTACCGCTACAGTCTCCTCACATACACAAACATTCACACATGCTCACACACACACACACACACACATAAGTGTAAGCTCGCCCCCCCCCCACCTCCTAACCCAGTGCCTCAGCCCAACTGTGCACTGCCCTCCATCTCTCCTCTGTGTCGGGTTTACAGAATCTCACTTTTCCAAAGGAGAACAAAGTTTTTGTCTTAAACGGAGAAATTGTTTTAAAAAAGCAGCAAAACAGAATCTGGATTGCGGTACCACAGAATCGGTTTGCTAACGTACAATACCATCGATATTCTTTTTTGCTGTTGAGTGATGCATTGCACTGTAACAGAACAGGTTAGAGCACACCGTTCTTTTCTTAGATTTTGTTCCTGAGCCTGTCTCACTTTTTTTTTTCCCTAAAGTGTTGCTCAACTTGTGTGTCATTTTCTTGTCAAACCATTCGCCTCAGCCCATCTCTGCCCATGAAGACAGAACTGTTTATCCCACGGCTGAAACCCACGTGTTATTGTTTAACATGTGGTGTCAATCCCAACATTAAACATGAGAGCTGAGCCATCTGGATGTGGGTCTGCTCTGTTTGATATGATTATTGACATATGTTCTAAAGAAAGGTGCGAATAACAAAGAGATTCATTCCGATAGCTGATCACTCAGGATGAGCTGTGGTCTTTACCGATTATTACAAAACAAAAGCAAACAGGTTCTCAGTATTTTTCTATCTCAAAATAAAAAAATATGAATGAACATTGCGAGCACTAAACACAGAAATAAATAGACTTGAATGATTTTAATATTCTGGTAATGTTCAGACCTGCTATTCTTCATCACGGTCAGCACTGAGAGGCCTTTGTGTGTCTGCCTGGTGTAACAGAGAGACTCTGTCTGAAATAGACAGGCGGGGTTTGAGAGAGTCACCCTCAGGCCCTCACCCTCTTTGCCTGTGGTATTGATCCCCTCATGTGTGTGTGTCCATGTGCTTGCGTGTACATATGTGCCTTTCCTTCTTCTGACAGACCCGTTTCTTTCTGTATGATGCATACCATGGCACTTCTTCTATAATCAGCCCGAGAGGTAGTGGAGGCGGACCTTTGGCCTTGATCTGCTGTGTAATTGGACATTGGATTTGACACTCTGCCGAGTGGAACATTAGAGCTGGCCTAATTAGGTGCGAGGGCTATTAAATGAAGATTGGCCCGTGTTGTTAGGAAATACCACACAGATTGGAAATGTCAAGATGACATCGGGCTGTCATCGGCAAGCACAGGGAAGAAAATCTATCATTTATTGGTGAAGTTTCGAAACTTGCTAGAAAACTGCCAAC